ACACATGTATCTGTATATATACACACATATGGTTTTTTTTTAAAGTAACATAACTACAAAATTATAAAATAGCATCACTACAAGAGTAAGCTTTAGGAACCAGCTCAATGTAAAATTCAAAACCAGAACATTAGATAATTACTCTCCATGGTTAGAGAGACTAAGATTCTTAATTTAAAAGTGAACACATTTCTAGTACTTGAGCACATTATATACAATTCATTTTAAGCATAGTAATGCTCCAGAATATTATTCGGCATAACAAAAGTCAGACAGAAATTCTACAATTCATGTTGCAAAAATTTTTTCTTTTGATAAGCAATTTAGATGCTATCTTAAAACCTGGTACATTTCCCTAAATTTTCATTTCTTTCTTTTGAGTTTTAAGGCTCCTTGGAAACAGTTAAAAAATTTTTGATCCTCTACTGACGCAAAGCAAAAATTCTAAATTGCTACTGAAATAATCAGTTTTTGTGTACCTTAAATTTCACTAATACTAGAAATAAACACACCAGTGTTAGGAAGTATGGGGAAATGGTATTTTTTTGTTAGTGGTGCATTTTAAAAAGTGATTTTAATTTTTAAAGGCAGCACAGAAGTTCCTCATAACCTTTCTTTTTTAAAATAGAAATTACATGACTAAAGGGATTGGTTTTAGAACTAACTCAGTGCTCTACTAGGTTCCAAAAAGCACAACAGATTATATAGAAAGCCAGTCTTCACTGCTAACGCATAAATTCATTCTATTCTTTGTATCTACTGCTTCCATTGCATTCATGAGATCTCCAAAAAACTAAAAAATTAAAAGACTAAAGTCCTCAAGTGGTAATTAGTACCTTTCAATGCTATTGCAAAATATTAAGAACACTGAAAAACCTTAGGCTTTTAGCACAAGGGTTAAACCAAGTACAGTACCCGTTTAGTGAAAAATCTGTTCAATGTTACAATGAATCACTGGATTAGCCAAAATGTCTGTATCTTCAATTTTTCTAAATGAGTATTTCAGTCTAATCCTAAAGCCATGGAATCCTCAAATTATGTTGGGGGTTATGAGGGAAGGCGACATGTATTTAATCACAACCTCACACGGTCTTACAAAGTTTAAGGAAGATACATCTCTAAGTTTTTATATAGACTGAACATGTGACATCTTGCTGTAACAGAAAAAAATTGCTTTTGAGCATTTAGTCCACACTCAACTATTCCTCATACCAGTCAAATCTACACACTACAGATCAATACTCACCTTCTTGATCAATTCATACACGCAAGAACACATTAAGTCCTTAGGAAAATGACACACGTGTATCAGTAAGATCTTGATATTCGATAATAAAATTATTTAACAATTACATTTTTGGAGAAAAAAGTCAACTTTGAAAAATGAGCCAAATCCCCTTTTTATCAATCCAGTTTCATGGACTAACCTCACTCTCTTAAAAGTATTTATCAAGCACCTACAAGAGAGAAAACTAAATGAGCAGTTTCTCATTCAAATGTTAGACTTTATATTTAAAACATGTATAGTTACCATGTTATCGATCTCTCCATAGCCCTCTACCAATCTTGAACTACACTGGAAGACACACGTGATAAGTTCTTTATGTACATGGATCATGGTTTTTATGATTAATTCCTTATTTCATCTTGCTAGACCCTCCTTACATGGTGGCTCCCAATAAAAGGGGTTCACTTTCCCTTTCTATACCTAGGAAAAAGTACTGGAATTCTACATTAAAGGAGTGTTTTGAGGACAAAATGAAAATCAACTTGTATAGTTAAAAAGATTACAGAACCAATGTGGAAATGTGTCCTTTTTTAAAAGGAATAAAGTTCTCTTCAAATAACCTCTCTTTAAAAAATGTTCATTACATTTAATCCCTAAATATAAATGCTAAACACTATATACACAGGCAAGGTTCTAGGAACTAAGTATACGGCAGAGATTGAAATGATCAACTCCCTACCCTCATGGTGCTTACCTTTAACAAACAGGTAGTGTCTGTATGCAAGGTACCATGCCAGTGCTTTGGGGGTATACAAAGAACAGGTTCTCTCCTTGGAGTTTACAATCTAGTGGCATAGATAACAAATTTATATATATATATATATATATATATAATGGTAATAGAAAGTAGGAAGTGATAGGTGTCCTAGAAAGAAGAGACATGACTTTTCTGAGGTGGGGGACGTAGGGAGAAAAGGCAAAAAGAACATTTTCATTCCCCTTACCACATTTTAAAATTAAGTCTGCTTCCTATTGGGCTGTTCAGTTGTATTCGGACACCTGGCACGTTGAAATCCAGACTGGCTACATGTGTTTCAAAGATTTACTTTGGGGTTTCTTCATATAAGGGAGCCTCACAATTTATTCTGAATACCAAACGAAAAGTGCAAGTGAAAATACTTTGTGTAACGCAGACATGAAAAGCGTAGATGGGTTCAAATAAGCATATCACTCAGGGCTGTTTTCTTAAAGTTATTTAACCTTCCTGAGTATCAGTTGTCTCCTAACACCTGCGAATGACACTATCCAAGTGATTCTTCCACACTATTTGACTAAGGTACCCACTTTTTTGGTAGGATGGGAATACTTCCCTCTGTGAAATGTAATTCACTATAAAAATGCTGTACTACTTCCTCCAGGTGCTCTATTATGGATAGATTACTGTCCTAAAAGTCAGCAAGAACACTATTTATCTTATCTTGTCGAGGCCTCAGTTTCCTCCTCCATAAAATGAGAGGGTGGGACTGCATGATCTAAACAGTCCTTTCCGGCCCTTACAAAGTCCCATGACTCCATTATGACTCAAATACTATTTAAGAGTCAGCTTTTAGAAGTGATAGGAGGTTGAAGTTAAATGAACGTCTCCCTTTTTTATGTTACTTCTTGCTAAGATAAAGTTTTTCTGAACAAGTCCAAACAGCATTCAAATTACTAAAAAGAGGGTGAAAAATGAATTTAAGAGTTAGTGCTTTAAGTTATAAGTACTCGCTATATATCAGACGCTAACAGCAAAACTTTTCAATTAAACTGAATTATTTTGAAATATTAAAATCACAACCTTCATTTAGTGTTAACTTTCTATCCCTTAGAAATGGGATTTCTCGTCATTGTAATACAGAACGGCTTATGTTCATAACCAAACAAGAGTCGCTGGGCAAAAATGTTTTCTAAACTAATAAAGAGGGTGGGAGGAGCGGCAGGCGAAGCAGCAGCAAATTATCTGCTTAAACTCATAACGATGTCTTTTCTCCCAAAGCCATCAGTTTTTCTGGAAGTGAAATTTCGATGGCTCGGTTCACTGAGGGTAGTTTTAAATAAAATTCATGCCGCTGACAGTTTTAGGATTAGACACATTGAGAGGGCGAAAAAGAGAAGAGAACAAACTTCCTGGATTTTTCTCTCCCGTTGTAGGAGAGATTTCCTCTTGCTTACGAAGGGAAAGGCCCCTTTAACAGTTCTCCTTGGAGCCGTGGCTGCTGCCAGACTAGGTGGGGCTCCCTCCGCTGTCTTCCTCTGGCCACTTCCCGCAACAAATGGAGCAAACCAGCCCATTTCGGGCAAACTTTTCCCCTGTCAGGCTGGAGCCTGCAGGGCGCCGGGGAGTGGTTTCCCCCGAACGCTCTTCGCCTCGGCTCGGGGCCGGGGGAAGCTGGGTCTCCGCAAAGAACAACTTTCTGGTTTCCGTTCTAACTTCCACCCACACCCAGGAGGGAACCAAGGCAGCACCGAGGGGGCTCCGGGACGGGGCACGAACCCTCCGGGAAGCGGGGACCGCTGCGGCGGCCGCGGGCGGGCGAGGGAGGGGGGTGGTCCTCGGGCTCTCACTTCCTCCGCCATATTTCAGACATTTGACCCCTTCCGCAAAGCGCGCTGCTCCCCCGCGGCGGCAGCTCGTCCCCGTTGGCCCGGGAGGCAGCGCGCCCGCGGTCGGGCGCCGGGCCGTCGCACCACCTGCCGCGCGCCGGGAAGCTGCAGCCGCCGCCGCCGCCGGAGCCCCTGACCGCCGCGCTCGCCCCGCCCGGCCCGCGCCGCACCCGCCCGCCCGCTCCCGCAGCCGGCGCCCGGCCCCCGCCCCACGCCGCCGCCTCTCCCCTCGGCGGCCACGCGCGACTCTGCGAACCTTGCACACTGTCGCCGGGTCCCCTCAGCCGGCGTCGCCCCGCGCCTAGCGCTCCCTCCGGGTCGCTGCTCCCGGCGCCACGGCGGTCTGCCGTTGCCGCCGCCGCCGCCGCCGCCGCTCCGGCTGGTTTACACGCCTGGCTCTGGGCGAGGTTTGGCGGTGCCGCCTTGACGTCAGGCGTTCGGCCTCGCTCTCGCTTCCGTCCGTGGGCGGGGCGAGCGGGTGCGCGGCCCGGGAAGGGGCGGGGCCCTGGGGTGGGGCGAGCAGAGGCGGGGGCGGGGCCTCTAGCACCGCCGCTGCGCAGGCCGGACGCGCGCGGCGCCCCTCGCGGCGTTTGGGCGGAGGTATTTTCTTTCCCCTTCCACCGCCTCTTGTCCTCGACTGGGCAGGCTGGCTGTGGATACTTTCGCGTGTAGGTTTCCCTGACTGTAGCGGGTTGCAGTGGTGCATAAGGCTTAGGTACCCTCCGAATGCCTTTAATGCAAACTGTAATTCGATCACCAACGCCACGAAACATTTGGTGCTCTCGTATTCCTTAGTGCTGGGGAAAGTGACCGGAAAAGTAACTGAGAACGCTCATTTTCCACGCCTAGAAACTATACAATAATAATAAATAATAGACAAAATTCATTCACTGGTGTCTTAATCTTAGCGAACTCTTTACGTATTACCCTGCCAAACTTAGTTAACAAATAGATGATCCCAAACAGCTTGGTACTCTGTACCTCAATCAACTGTTTATATAGATACAATAAATTGCATATTTGAATGCGTAACTCGGGCCCTTTAAAGGGTTACCCAGAGGTAGGTTTATGATAATACTACTGGGCAATAGAAAGCACTTTCTCTTCCAAAAATGCCTTGTTCCAAAAAGGGCGGGAACTTAACGAGGGAATTTACCATTAGAGAAAAGGCTAAAATAAAACTACCGTTAGAAGACGACCTTTTTTATGAAATGAGGTTTCTCATGGGCAAATACGTTCAAATACAGAGCAAAGTGCAGGGAAAAGCGGTGTTGGGAGGACGTTAATGACTAACTTATCCTTAGTTCAGAGTTTCACTGGACCCTGTATAAATTATTGTTGAAATAAACTTCAATGATCTCTGATACATGTGGAATATAAATGCAGAGTATGATTAATTTTACTCCTTTTAAGAGTACTAGTAATTGAAAACTAACCTAAGTTAAAGGAATAGATAAGAGTGAATTATAATTATCCTAAATTTTCTCTGTGTAAGTGCATTCTGGGTATTTCCCAATTCAGATTAATGGAATATGTTACATTTTTAGGTAATTTCTGTTTCTTTAGCAAACCCTTTTTAATGAAAATTCAAAGGCAAATTTCAAAGCAGTTTGTAGGAATTGTTATAAATTCTGAATGGATAAATTTCAAATAAATTCCACCTAATGGACTTTAAATTATTGCCGGAAACTTTGAGAAGTCTGAAAGCTTGAAACTCTGAGTTCATGGAGTTCAGATGTTGCCTTGGTATACTGTATTTTTTTCTTTTTCTTTTCTTTTCCTTCTTTTTCTCTCTCTTTTTTTTAAACTCTCTTTGAGCTTTGGGCAATTGACTTTTTTTTTTCTTCCCAGAAGTCAGTTTTTAAGTTTGGAGCTGGGATTATTTAGAATTTGAGAGAATATGTAAAATAGTTTATTTTAATTAAGGGTACATGTGTTTTCTTCTATTGTCTAGAAATCTAATATTACACTTGCATTAGACTATTATCTCTATGTAGAGAAAGCCAGTCTCTGCATCTCTTAGTACTGAACTTGCTTTTGGGCTTGAACCCCCTTGTTTCTATTTCCCAGAAATCTTTACCAGGATATTTCACTGGCTACTTGAACTGGTCATATATGCAAACTGAACCCATCATCTTTGTCATGAAATCAGTTTCTTCTATTTTTCTTTTGTTAATTTTATCACCAGCTTTTAAATTACCTAGTCTCCATGCCTGACACTCCTTTCCCCACCTTTTCTTGAACTATCAGTCAACTGACACATCTATTAGTAATTCACTTGTATTAAGACACTTGTTTAGATAGGTACTACTTCACAACTCCTAGCCTTTAGCAGCACCTTCCTACCTTGCCTTGCAGCCTCTGTTCCTGCTGTGATTCATTCTACACATAGTTGTCAGGTAAATTATCTTAATGCAGACTGAGCAAGTACTCTCTTCCTTAAAGAGCTTAGTCTCCTCCCTGCCCTACCAAAATAAAGTTAAAATCCTTGTATTTAATTTTCCCTTTCAATTAAAATGCCTTTACAGTCAGAGTGGACTTCTCATCTTGCCCAAATATAGTGCTGTCCCACTTCAACGGTGTGCAGAGCTGATGTCCTTTGCCTTAGAATGCCCCTTTCCACACCGGCCCGTTAATCAAGGTCCATTAACTTTCTCTAAAACAGCATCTTTTCTGATATTTCCAATCTCATGTGCTTTCTTCTCTTTTGAATCCCCGTAACACTGTATTGCTTCTTTCTTTTGTCCCTTATTTCTGACCTTCCTACTAGAACAAGGGTTTGCAAACTTTTTCTGTGAAGAGCCAGATAGTAAATATTTAAGGCTTTGTGGGCCAGATGGTTTTTGTTGCAAACTACTCAACTCGGCCTTTATTGTTCAAAAACAGCCAGAGGGTACATAAAGAATGTGTGTGGCTATATTCTAATAAAACTTTATTTATGGGCATTAAAATTAGAATTTCATGTAATTTTCACAGTCACAGATAGTCTTTTCTTTTTAACCATTAAAAAATGTGACAACCATTCTTTGCTCATGGCTGTACAGAAACAGGCAGTAGACTGTATTTGGCTAGCAGGCCATTGTTTGCCATGCTGTTCTCAGGGCCAGCTTCATGGGTGTGTGAGAGGGCTCTGTGCTTAGGCCCTGGGATCAATTTATTGCTCTAATGTCACCGTCTTGGAAGTTTTAATAATTTTTGCACAAGAGGGCTGCATTTGCATTTTGCACTGGGTCCCTCAAGTTCTGTAGCTTGTCTGGCTTGTACTAGAAGATAAAAATCTCTAAGATCAGGATATGCATTTCTCATTTTGGCATGGTAATTTTCACATAAGAGGCATTTGAAATGAATTTGTTGAATTTTCTGTTCTTCAGGTACTGTGGAATAGTGGAGAATACAAAATTCAGAGTTCAGCTCTAACATTTACTAGCTGTGTGGTTTTGGGTAAATTCTTTAACCATGTTTACAAGCTTTGGTTACTCATCTATAACATGGGATAATAACCTCTGCCTTAAAGAACTGTTAAGTTAAAGTTTAGATTAGCCTGTGGGACTAGAAGAAGCTCAAAATTAGTTTTTCCCTTTTTAGAGGAAGTGAATTAATAGTGGGCTCACCCATAACTTTTGTTGTGTTTAACCTGATAGAACATTTCTGAATTTCTATGTTATGTGCTTCCTTAAAAGTTTTACTTCAAATTTCATCTATATCTCATTAATATCATTTCAAAAGTCCACATAAGTAAAGGTCTTGTTGCAAATCCAAAATTAGATTAAAAAATGTACAATTTTCCTAACAGTTAATGATTATTAGTATTAACAAGAGTCACACTGTTTAACTTCCAATTATGCATGGTTATCGGTAGCATTGATAGTCATTAACCTTAAACATTATTATAGTATTTCACTTACAAATGAATGATATTGAAATTTGACCCTTTCAAGGCACTTTCTTAGTGGTTTTACCCTCTGCTGTGTGTGCATGCATATGTGTGCTTGCATGGATGTATGTGTACGTGTATATGTAATATATATATATATATATGTAGTTATATGCGGGCATTTAAAATTAATTCTGAGAAACATGTTATATAGAATAGCTTTCAATATCTCTGAGGGTTTAAAAATTTTCCACCATTATACTTTGTCAAATATATAAACATAGCTTAAATGTCTCTGTAATAATTATACCATATGCAGTCATTGTATTTCCCTGCTACATCAGGATCCAAAGGATTGAGATTAGACTTGGGACATGGGGACTATAGGGAAATGTTGTACCTAACCTTCCTATGTCAGGACACGGCAGAAGCAGGCGGCTGAGGGAAGCTAGGATAAGCTGAACTGGGAAACATCAGAGTACCCTACAGAGAGACTTACAAGCACAGAATGTGGACCAAGAATTTAATATTTAAATTTTCCCAGAAAAACAAAAGTATTAGGGTACTGGAATTTCTAACCGATGCCTGGAAAACACTCCTTGTTAATACACTTGTTCTTCCAGGAAGCTCTTCTGACCCCAGAGGTTTTCTTGCCAGGTGTGCAGGTAGCTTAGAAATTTATCTCTGTATCCAAACTCCATTCTAAAAATAAATTATTTTCTGATATATATATATTATAGAAAATAGACAAAAGTATAACAGTAAATAAAATAGTCTCATCAAGTCATTCATTTCAAAAAATATTTACTGTCACCTACATCTAAAAATTGTGAATTGGATAAAAGTAGTATGAAGAATTCACATAGTGGTGGACAACACAGTCTCAGCCCTCAATGAGGCAAGAGACTAAAGAAAGAGACAAATAATAAACATGAGAACAAACAAATGTAAAATCACAAATAGTATATTCAAAAGAAAATTTCAAATTCAAAAGAAATTCCAGGGGTGCTAGTCTTTTTCATTTTAACTTATGGAAGCTTGATTAAGTAGCGTATCTTTGACATTTTTATTATACAGATATTGTTACTTGGTGGTCTCTTGAATCTGTGTAATTCTATAAGACAATTGTATTTGTTCATCTATTTTTTTAACCTTAAACAATATCATCTTTTTATTTGTTCTAAAGCTGGAATCGTGTGATTTAATCATCTTTTAAAAT